GCTGGGAGATTGTCTCAAACCCGAAAACCTCGGGCTGCTGCTCCTTGGGACCGCTCGGATGGAGGAGAGGGGAGGATGGAGACTGATCCTGGGCCCGGAGAGGGATTCTGGAGGTCAAAGCTTTAGCCCCTTGACCATCTGCATTAACCTGTCCAGGTTAAACCCTTGAACTTGCATGGAGGAATGATAGCGGGAGGGGGAGGAGGGAAGAAGATGGAAACATCCCGGGAAGGGCCGAGCACACCCAGCACGGCCCCGCTCCGGTTTGGTCACTTGGGTTGTGTTCGTGTCCCTGTCCGGAGGGGAGAGGACACCTGGGAGGGTGTGAGGGGCTCCCTGCTGGACCCCAGGCTGTCTGTGGGGCTGCAGCTGAGCTYCTCTGTGCCCCAAAACTCCCCGGAGCTGAGTGGGTCACTCTGCAGAGCCCCAAAACCACCCCAGTGCTGTCAGTGGCGCCGGGATGGGGCTGCCCTGTCCTCACCAGCTGCGCTGGGAAGCTCGGTTGGCAATCTTGCTGAGAGGGTGGAGAAACCTGCTGAACCATTGTGTGGCATTCTGAGCAGAATCCCGATGCATTAATGTGATTTTTCTCTCATTGGTGCTGGGTTTGGCAGCTTTGCACCCTCGCAGGAGGTACCAMGTTACTGATTTCAGTGTTTGTCTCTGCCCTGACTCCACCCTGTCATTCCTGTGCCCTCCTGATAGCTCAGAAGAGCAGGAGACCTTCTTTGTGCACCCCAATAGGATGTTCACTGGGGCTGGGATGGGGAGACACCAAATGATCCCATGGAGGTGTTTAAGTTGCTCCATCTTACATTTTTTCCAGGCTGATGGACAAGGCTGGGCTCTCACAGTGCAGCTGCACCGTGTCCCGGGGCTCTGTAGGACAKGGGTGTGATCTCCCTTTGCCCCTCCATTCCTGATTTACCCCAGGGCATGGGCACATCAGAGCTGGAGGGTGATGGAGGACCCTTGGASTCCCCGCAGAGCTCCTGCCCCTGCCACCACTCTCGAATTTCCAGGGGAAACTTTGATTTGTTCAGCAATTCCAGGGAGGAGGCTGCTCCCAAAGAACTCCTGGGGCCTCAGGATGGAGCAACAGCCCTCTCTGAAGTGGGGTGGCCTGAGGGGCTTCAAAGTGTCTGAAAGAAAAACTTTAGCCCTTTGACCATCTGCATTTACCTGGCTAGGTTAAACCCTTGAACATGCATGGAGGAATGATACCAGGAGGGGGAGGAGGGAAGAAAAAATACCCAAAGCCATCTCTGAAAATCACGTGGTGATAAGGCCTTCTCTGGTGTGCCCCATGCAGCTGGCAGCAGAAACCAGGCTTTTATGTTTGGGTCTGGCTGGTTTTTCRCTTTCTGCAGCCAAAAGGATCTGGATAAAGTTTGCCTGGAAGATTAGCTGGCACTGAGCCTGCCTAGACATCTCYAGCAGGAGTAGGTCCTAATTCCCCTCTCAACCAGCCCTGTGGGGGAGTGTCCCCCTGGAGGGGACAGTTCCACCAGCTCTGTCCCCTCTGGCATACCAGGACCCTGCTCCCACTGCAGGGGAGTGACAGGGACCCCAAAGGATCCCCATGGTCCCAGGTGATGCTCCACAGCCCAAGGAGGGGTGGGGTGGGAGCGCAGAGCCTTGGCACCCTCACTCGGGGTGGCCTTGCACTGACCCTTCCCAGGGTCACAGATCCTTCATGTGGCCTGTCCCAGTGCTGGAACTGGGAACTGGGGTGTGGGAGCCCCCAAACCGGGCTGGAACTGGGAATTGGGGTGTGTGAGAGCCCC